CCCGGTTTTCTGCCGGCCAGAGCTGCATCATCAAGCGGTACTGCGAGAAGAGGTTCGTGCCCAAGTACCTGGCCACCATCGGCATCGACTACGGCGTCACCAAGTGAGAGCGGGAATGTGGGAATGGCGGGAATGTGGGAATGGCGGGAATGGTGGGAATGGGAATGGTGGGATTGGAATGGGGATGGGAATTATGGGATGGGAATGATGGGAATGGGATGGGGATGGGAATGGGAATGATGGGATTGGAGTGGGGATGGGAATGATGGGAATTATGAAATGGGAATGATGGGAATGGGAATGTGGGAATGGGAATGATGGGATTGGGAATTATGGAAATGGGATGGGATAGGATGGGAAGGGAATGGGAATGATGGGGATGGGATGGGAATGATGGGAATGATGGGGATGGGAATGTGGGAATGGAAATTATGGGATGGGAATGGGGTGGGGATGGGATGGGAATTACAGGAATGGGATGGGAATGATGGGAATGGGAATGGGGGAATGGAAATTATGGGATGGGAATGATGGGAATGTTGGGATGGGAATGAGGTGGGATGGGAATGGGAATGATGGGAATGGGATGGGAATGGAATGAGAATGCAGTGGGACTGGGGATAGGGATGGGTTGGGAATGATGGGAATGATGGGATGGGAATTATGGGATGGAATGGGAATTATGGGATGGGAATGATGGGAGTGGGGTGGGAATGGTGGGAACAGGATGGGAATGATGGGAATGGAGATTGGAATGAGGGTGGAATCAGAGCAGGAATGGGAATGATGGGAATGGGATTTGGTTTGGGAATGGGAATGGGTTTGGAAATGGGAATGATGGGAATGGGATGGTAAAAATGGAATGGGAATGGGAAGGGCAATGGGAATACTGGGAATGGGATTGGGAATGGGATTGGGAATGGGATGGGAATTATGGGAATGGGAATGATGGGAATAATGGGATTGAGATTGGGAATGATAGGAATGGGATTGGGTTTGGGGCTGGAATAATGGGATTGGCATGGGAATGGGAGCGGGAATGGGAATGATGGGATGGGAATAATGGGATTGGGATGGTAAAAATGGAATGGGAATGGGAATAATGGGAATGGGATTGGGAATAACGGGAATGGGATTGGGAATGGGGCTGGGAATGGGAATGATGGGAATAATGGGATTGGGATTGGGAATAATGGGATTGGGATTGGGAATAATGGGAATGGGATTGGGTTTGGGTGTGGAATAATGGGATTGGCATGGGAATGGGAATAATTCCCGTGATGGGAATGGGATGGGGTTGGGAACGGGAATGGGGTGGAAATGGGAATAGAAATAATGGGATGGGGTTTGGGAATGGGAATGGGAATTATGGGAATGGGAATGGGAAGAGCAATGGGAATACTGGGAATGGGAATATTGGGAATAATGGGATTGGAATGGGAATAATTCCCATTATGGGAATGGGATGGGAATGGGAATAATGGGATTGGGTTTGGGAATGTGATTGGGAATAATGGGATTGGGAATGGGAAGAATGGGAATGGGAATATTGGGAATAATGGGAATGGGAATATTGGGAATATTGGGAATAATGGGATTGGGACTAATGGGATTGGGAATGGGAACAGGGGACCAGGAGCAGCCCCTGGAGGTCGGAGCCGGGCGGGATCGGAATTCCTTCCCGGAAAATCGGGATGGGATGAGAGGGAACAGCCGAGAGCTTTTCCGGAGGAAAATCCCATTTTCCCCAGAATTTGGGAATGGTTCCCACCCAGATGGGGGCTGGGAATTCCTGGGAATTTTTTTTCCCGGCTGGGCCATCCCGGAATTCCGGGATTTTCCCAGGGTGCAGATCCGGGATCGGGAGATCAAGGTGAACATTTTCGACATGGCCGGACACCCCTTCTTCTACGAGGTCAGAATTCCCAAAATTCCCTCCGGAAAGCCGGGAATCCTTTCCCAACTTCTTCTCCCAAGTTTTTCCCATGGAATTCCCTCCCAAATCCCAGCCTGGGGTTGGATCCAGCCCCATCCCAAGGGAAGGAATTTTGGGAATTCCCTGGGAATTGGGGACTCCAGGAAGGGTCTCCCTATCCCAGAATTCCATAAAAATCCCTCGGGATGGATCCTGAGCGCCCTGGATCCCAGAATGGCTTCAATAATTCCCAAATAATTCCCAAATAATTCCTGAATAATTCCCAAATAATTCCAGAATAATTCCCAAATAATTCCAGAATAATTCCTGAATATTTCCCCAGTAATTCCCAGACAATTCCCGTCTGATTCCCAAATAATTCCCAAATAATTCCAGGTTCATTCCGGATCCAATCCCAGGCTGGGAATGGAGGGAATTCCCTGGGAAAACGGGGAGGGATTTGTGATTTGGGAAGGAATTCCTGGGGTATCCCAAAAAAAACCCCAAATCCCAGAAAATCCCTGGATTTCCTTTCCCAAATTCCATAAAAATCCCTGGGGATGGATCCGGAGCCTCCTGGATCCCGGAATTCCTCGGGATGGGATCCACGGATTCCCGACCCCATCCCATTCCCAACCCGATCCGGCTTTTCCCGGAATCCACCAGCTCCTCCCCCAAATCCCCAATTCCCGCTGGGAATTCCGACCCCGGAATCCCAAAAAACCCCAAACCTCCCCTCCCCCCACTCCATTTTCCATCCCCTCGGCTCCGATTTTTCCAGGGAATTTTTTTCCCTCAAATCCCAGATATCCCAGGGGCGATTTTTCCCAGGATTCTGTTTTTCCTGGGATTTGTGTTCTTTTTTCCCAGCATTCAGTTTTTCCCTGGATTTGTGTGTTGTTTTTTCCCAGAATTCCGTTTATTTCCCTGGCATTTCTGTTGTTTTTTCCCGGAATTCCGTTTATTTCCCGGGGATTTGTGGTTTTTTTTCCCAGAATTTTTCCAAGGGATTTGTGTTTTTTTCCTGGAATTCACTTTTTCCCTGGGGATTTGTGTTGTTTTCCCCAGAATTCCATTTATTTCCCTGGGATTCGTGTTGTTTTTCCCTGGAATTCCATTTATTTCCCGGGAATTCGTGTTGGTTTTTCCCTGGAATTCCATTAATTTCCCCGGAATTTGTGTTGTTTTTCCCCCGGGATTTGTGTTGTTTTTTCCCAGAATTTTTCCAGGGATTTGTGTTGGCTTTTTTCCTGGGATTTCTGTTGTTTTTCCCTGGAATTTTTGCTGTTTTTTTCCTGGAATTCCCTTTATTTTTCCCGGGGATTTGTGTTCTTTTTTTCCCAGAATTTTTCCCGGGATTCGCGTTGCTTTTTTCCTGGAATTCCGTTTATTTCCCCGGAATTTGTGTTGTTTTTTCCCCAGGAATTTCTGTTGTTTTTTCCTGGAATTCCCTTTATTTTTCCCTGGGATCTGTGTCGTTTTTCCCAGTATCTGTTCAGTTTTCCCCCCAGAATTCCCTTTTCCCCACAAATTCCTGTAGTTTTTCCCCAGAATTCCATTTATTCCCCGGGAATTCGTGTTGGCTTTTTCCTGGAATTCCATTAATTTCCCCGGAATCTGTGTTGTTTTTTCCCTGGGATTCGTGTTGGTTTTTCCCTGGAATTTCTGTTGTTTTTCCCCTGGGATTTGTGTTGTTTTTCCCTGGAATTCGTGTTGGTTTTTTCCTGGAATTCCATTTATTTCCCCGGGATTCATGTTGTTTTTCCCCAGGGATTTGTGTTGTTTTTTCCTGGAATTCCCTTTATTTTTCCCTGGGATCTGTGTCGTTTTTCCCAGAATCTGTTCCGTTTTCCCCCCAGAATTCCCTTTCCCCCGCGAATTCCTGTAGTTTTTCCCCAGAATTCCATTTATTCCCCGGGAATTCGTGTTGGTTTTTCCCTGGGATTTGTGTTGTTTTTTCCCAGAATTTTTCCCGGAATTTGTGTTGTTTTTTCCCCAGGAATTTCTGTTGTTTTTTCCTGGAATTCCCTTTATTTTTCCCTGGGATCTGTGTTGTTTTTCCCAGAATTTTTCCCCTGGGATTCGTGTTGTTTTTCCCTGGAATTTCTGTTGTTTTTTCCTGGAATTCCCTTTATTTTTCCCTGGGATCTGTGTCGTTTTTCCCAGAATCTGTTCCCTTTTCCCCCCAGAATTCCCTTTCCCCCGCGAACTCCCGTCGTTTCCCCCCAGAATTCCATTTATTTTTCCCTGGAATTCGTGTTGGTTTTTTCCTGGAATTCCATTTATTTCCCCAGAATTCGTGTTGTTTTTTCCCAGGAATTTCTGTTGTTTTTTCCTGGAATTCCATTTATTTTTCCCTGGAATTCGTGTTGGTTTTTTCCTGGAATTCCCTTTATTTTTCCCTGGAATTTCTGTTGTTTTTTCCTGGAATTCCATTTATTTTTCCCTGGGATTTCTGTTGTTTTTTCCTGGAATTCCCTTTATTTTTCCCTGGGATCTGTGTCGTTTTTCCCAGAATCTGTTCCCTTTTCCCCCCAGAATTCCCTTTCCCCCGCGAACTCCCATCGTTTCCCGCCAGAATCCCATCTATTCCCGGGGAATTCCCGCCGTTTTCCCGGGAATTCCCTCCATCCCGCCCCCGGGGCTGTCCCGGCAGGTGCGGAACGAGTTCTACAAGGACACGCAGGGGGTGCTGCTGGTGTACGACGTGGGCTCCAAGGAATCCTTCGATTCCCTGGATTCCTGGCTGGCCGAGATGCGCCAGGAGCTGGGGCCCCACGCCAGCCTGGACAACGTCGTCGTCGTCGTCTGCGCCAACAAGGTTCCCCTTCCCGACCTTCCCCGCGCGCCTTCCCGCCCCTTCCCCGCGGAATTAACCCGGAGCTTTCCCAGGGGTTTTTTTCTCCTGGATTTTTCCCGGATTATTCCCGGATTTTTCTCAGATTTTTCAGATTTTTACCAGATTTTTACCAGATTTTTCCCAGATTTTGGCCAGAATTTTTCCAGATTTTTCCCAGAATTCTTGGATTTTTTCCAGAATTTTTCCGGATTTTTTCCAGAATTTTTCCGTATTTTTCCCAGATTTTTCCCGGCTTTTTCCCAGATTTTTCCCAGAATTTCCTGGATTTTTCCGGATTTTTCCCAGATTTTTCCCAGATTTTTCCCAGATTTTTCCCAGATTTTTCCCATATTCTTCCCAAATTTCTCAGATTTTTCCCAGATTTTTTCTCAGATTTTTCCCAGGTTTTTCCCAGGTTTTTTCTCAGATTTTTTCCCAAAATTCTCAGATTTTTCCTGGATTTTTCCCGGATTTTTCTCAGATTTTTCAGATTTTTACCAGATTTTTCCCAGATTTTTCCCAGATTTTTTTTCCAGAATTTTTGGGTTTTTTTCCCAAATTTTTCACAGATTTTTCCCGGATTTTTCCCAGAATTTTTCCGTATTTTTCCCAGAATTTTTCCGGATTTTTCCCAGATTTTTCCCAGATTTTTCCCAGAGTTCTTGGATTTTTCCCAGACTTTTTCCCAGAATTTTTCCCAGAATTTTTCCGGATTTTTCCCAGATTTTTCATGGATTTTTCCCAGAATTCTCAGATTTTTCCCAGATTTTTTCTCAGATGTTTCCCAGATTTTTCCCAGATTTTTTTCTCAGATTTTTTCCCAAAATTCTCAGATTTTTCCCAGATTTTACCCAGAGTTCTTGGATTTTTCCCAGATTCTTCCAGAATTTTTCACAGAATTCTTGGATTTTTCCCAGATTTTTCCGTATTTTTCCCAGATTTTTTCCCCAGATTTTTCCCAGATTTTTCAGATTTTTCCCAGATTTTTCCCAGAATTTTCAGATTTTTCCCAGATTTTTCCCAGAATTTTTGGGGTTTTTTTCCCAGATTTTTCCCAGATTTTTCCCGTATTTTTCTGAGAATTCTTGGATTTTTCCCAGATCTTTTCTCAGATTTTTTCCCAGGTTTATTCCTAGATTTTTCCAGGAATTACTGGATATTTCCAAATTTTTCCCATATTTTTTTCCAGATTTTTTCCCAGATTTTCCCCATTTTTTTCCCAGAATTACTGGATTTTACCCAGATTTTTCCGGGATTTTTCCGGGATTTTTCCCAGATTTTTCCCAGATTTTTCCCAGAATTACCGGATTTTTTCCAGATTTTTCCCAAGATTTTCCCAGAACTTCCAGATTTTTCCCAGATTCCTCCAGAATTCCCAGATCTGGTTTTCCCACATTTCCCGGTGCTGGGGGGGTTGCACCCCTCCCATCCCCCATCCCTCATCCACAGCATTCCCGGTGTTATTCCCAGTGTTCCCATTCCCGGTGTTCCCAGCCCCATTCCCGGGGTCATTCCCGGGGTCATTCCCGGTGTTCCCATTCCCGGTGTTCCCAGCCCCATTCCCGGTGTCATTCCCGGTGTCATTCCCGGTGTCATTCCCGGTGTTCCCAGCCCCATTCCCGGCCCCATTCCCGGTGTCATTCCCGGTGTCATTCCCAGTGTTATTCCCGGTGTCATTCCCGGTGTCATTCCTGGTGTCATTCCCGGTGTTCCCAGCCCCATCCCCGGTGCCATTCCCAACCCCATTCCTGGTGTCATTCCCGGTGTTCCCATTCCCGGTGTCATTCCCGGTGTTCTCCCGGCGCAGGTGGAGGCGGGCCGGGCGCGGGCGGTGGACGAGAGCGAGGGCCCCATTCCCGGTGTTCCCAGCCCCATTCCCGGTGTCCCCAGCCCCATTCCCAGTGTCATTCCCGGTGTCATTCCCGGTGTCATTCCTGGTGTTTCCAGCCCCATTCCCGGCCCCATCCACAGCCCCATTCCCGGTGTTATTCCCAGCCCCATTCCCGGTGTCATTCCCGGCGTCATTCCCGGTGTTCCCATTCCCGGTGTCATTCCCGGTGTCATTCCCGGTGTCCCCAGCCCCATTCCCGGTGTCATTCCCGGTGTTCCCATTCCCGGTGTTCTCCCGGCGCAGGTGGAGGCGGGCCGGGCGCGGGCGGTGGACGAGAGCGAGGGGCGGCTCTGGGCCGAGAGCCGCGGGTTCCTCTACTGCGAAACCTCGGCCCAGAGCGGGGAGGGCATCCAGGAGATGTTCCAGGTGCCGGGAACGGCGCGGGAATAACGCGGGAATAACGGGAATCTGGGAATGCGGGAATCTGGGATGAGAGGGATGCAGGAGATGTTCCAGGTGCCGGGAATTCCCAATGGGAATAATGGGAATCTGGGAATGCGGGAATTGGGATGAGAGGGATCCAGGAGATGTTCCAGGTGCCGGGAATTCCCAATGGGAATAACGGGGAATTGGGGATTGGGAATGCAGGGATGAGAGAGCATCCAGGAGATGTTCCAGGTGCCGGGAATGACGCGGGAATGCGGGAATCTGGGAATGACGGGGATCTGGGAATGCAGGAATTGGGATGAGAGGGATCCAGGAGATGTTCCAGGTGCCGGGAACGACGCGGGAATAACGGGAATGCGGGAATCTGGGAATGCGGGAATGCGGGATGAGAGGGCATCCAGGAGATGTTCCAGGTGCCGGGAATTCCCAGTGGGAATAACGGGAATCTGGGAATGAGGGAATTGGGATGAGAGGGCATCCAGGAGATGTTCCAGGTGCCGGGAATGACGCGGGAATCTGGGAATCTGGGAATTGGGAATTGGGATGAGAGGGCATCCAGGAGATGTGCCGGGAATTCCCAATGGGAATAACGGGGAATGCGGGAATGGGGATGAGAGGGCATCCAGGAGATGTTCCAGGTGCCGGGAACGGCGCGGGAATCTGGGAATGACGGGGATGCGGGAATCTGGGAATGCGGGAATTGGGATGAGAGGGATCCAGGAGATGTTCCAGGTGCCGGGAATTCCCAATGAGAATCTGGGGATGCGGGAATCTGGGAATGCGGGAATTGGGATGAGAGGGCATCCAGGAGATGTTCCAGGTGCCGGGAATTGGGAATGGAGATGTTCCAGGTGCCGGGAATTGGGAATGAGGGAATCTGGGAATGCGGGAATGGCTGGGGGATCGGGAATTGGGAGGGAGGAGGAGAAGGATCCAGGAGATGTTCCAGGTGCTGGGAATGATGGGGGAACTGGGAATTGGGAATGGGAATTGGGAATTGGGAACTGGGAATTGGGGATTGGGAACAGGGAGCTGGGAATTGGGGATTGCGGATTGGGAACTGGGAATTGGGAATTGGGAATGTGGGGATTGGGAACTGGGAATTGGGAACTGGGGATTGGGAACTGGGAATTGGGAATTGGGGATTGGGAATTGGGAACTGGGGATTGGGAATTGGGAACTGGGAATTGGGAACTGGGGATTGGGAATTGGGAATTGGGGATTGGGAATTGGGAATTGGGAATTGGGAATTGGGGATTGGGAATTGGGAATTGGGGATTGGGAACTGGGAACTGGGGATTGGGAACTGGGGATTGGGAACTGGGAATTGGGAATTGGGGATTGGGAATTGGGAATTGGGAACTGGGAATTGGGAATTGGGGATTGGGAACTGGGGATTGGGAACTGGGAACTGGGGATTGGGAATTGGGGATTGGGAATTGGGAATTGGGAATTGGGAATTGGGGATTGGGAATTGGGGACTGGGAATTGGGAATTGGGGATTGGGAACTGGGAATTGGGAATTGGGAATTGGGGATTGGGAACTGGGGACTGGGAATTGGGAATTGGGGATTGGGAATTGGGAACTGGGAATTGGGAACTGGGAATTGGGAACTGGGAATTGGGAATTGGGAATTGGGAATTGGGAAT